TACTTCCCGCGGGTACTCCCGATGGTACAATGAAAGTCCTTGACTTTCTTTCACCAATTCCAACAAACTGCGATCGTGATGTCAAATAACCATGGAACCATTTGACAATTTGACGGCCGAATCCAAATCTCACCAGCTTTTGAAGCAATCTCATGTGGCTGACACGATCAAAAGCCTTTGCGAAATCGGTGTACAACACATCCGTTTGACATTTGTTGATCATCGAGTCCATCGTAAAATTCACCATTTGCAGTAAATTTGTCGCAGTTGATCGATTCTTCACAAAACCATGTTAATTTTGGCTTATTTTACCATTTACGAATGTGTTGATTTTGCCATAGACTACCATTTCGAATATTTTTGCAATTGTTGGAATAATCACAACTGGCCTATAGTTCGATGCACTGTTCTTTTTTCCCGATTTGAATATTGGCACTATTCTCGACTTTTTCAATACATCTGGAACACATCCTTGATGCAATGATTTACGAAATAGCACTGTTAACGGGGTTGCCAAGGATTTTGCACAGTTCTTCAGTAGTTTCGGTGAAATTCCGTCTGGACCGGCTCCCTTATTCATGTTGATCGATTGTAGTGCTTTTAATACATCGGTTTCACTGATTTCAATGTCAAACGATACTTCTCCGCATTCGTTCAGCAACTGATCCAAATCGATATTTTCGCTCTGTGTATACTGATTTTCGAAGAAATCAGCAAACAATTCCGCTTTCAATATGTCAGTGTTCGCTGTCACCAGTGTTTGGTAAAGATATCTTATCTCGTTTGAGATAGTAAGATAAGATAAGATAGATACTATCTTTTATCTTATCTAGATGATTTTAGAAACTTAAAAAATCATCTTATCTTTATCTTATCTTTTGGATTTTTTTGGTATCTTATCTTTATTTTTTAAGATAAATAATAAGATATTTTGGTCATTTATTTAAAAAAAATTCATCAATTGTCGGTAGCGAAAATAATCAATTTCATGACCCGTTATCAAATTCGAATTCTTCGTTATCAAATTCCATTGCACGCCCATTGAAATCAAGTTGATTGCATTCGAGAAATTTCGAGAAATTCACCGTAATTCGTATTGCATAAATGGCATAAACTCGAAACGCTTTGAAAAAGGTGCTTCCACCATCCGTAACAATATGTGTTATTTTGTGTACTGCCAGATCATATTTTTTAAAGGCGTTTATAAGTATTTTGGTCAAAGCATTATATCTGTCGAAAAGCTAAAACGAACGATTCCCTCTGATAGGACGATAAATAGTGCACAGTAATGCTTTTAAAACTACGATTTTTCGATAAAATCGAATTTGGAATTCCATCGTGTTACGCACGGTGTTCGCAGAACACATCCGACAACTTCAACGCACGATTCATGGGCCCGATTACCCGGACCGATTAATATCCACAGTGCGTGAAGTCTGTTTATAACAGATATTAATTAACATTCTTTGTTTTTTCACCTTGACATTTTTCAAAATTTTATTCAAATAATTTTCGTTATCTTATTTTTTTATCTTATCTTTTCGAAAGATATCTTATCTTTTATCAAAAAGATAAGATGAAAATCTTGAAAATATCTAGATGAATTTCGGAAAATTGAGATACTATCTCAAAAGTATCTAGATACATTTCAGATATCTTAACCAAACACTGGCTGTCACATCATTGTACTCAACGATAGCTGGAATATCGCTCCGTTTTCTTCGATCATTCACAAATCGCCAAAAGTGTTTTGGATTTGATTTGATTTGTGATTGTATGCGGGTGATGTACGATTTAAATAACTGGCTTTGCAATTGGATTTGCAAAGTAGTCTCCATGAACACGAATGACACTTTCATAACGATGCTTTAATGCTTTAATTCCTCCACTTGGCATCTTTGTCCTCCCATACGTTGAAAATATCGTTCGATATCTCTTCTTCGGACTCATAACATCTGTATAGAAAGTCTTTGGAATAAATTCAGACGTTGCCATTAAACAACAAACACACAATATTAAATTCGTTTTTATTGGTATAAACCTTTATTCATAGGCTGTCGAATAGCACATTCACTTCACACTGAACGGACCATTGTCTACGATTTTTCTCAGTATGCGTCGAACTATCAAAATTATGTTCTGGACAACCTCTTTGTCGATTTCTTTCAACTTTCTCTCAATCCATCCAACTAATTGTTGCACGTTTCAAGTATTTTGAATCTTCGCCTATATCATACATCCAAAAACAGACTAGAAATAATTAATTTGGTGTTTTTTTCTGAAGTTAAAAAGATGGTCTTTTTTTCATGAAAATGCTACTTTTCAAGAAGTGAGCCATTAGTGTGGTTTTTTCTGCTTGCAAAGCACAATTTTGTCTTTAATCAGATAGTTCTCAACGAATTCTATCGATTTCAACAATATTAGGTTGATAATAGAGCATCTAATGGAGGTTTTACCTTACGTTTCAGCACCAAATTTTCGAATAATGGCTCTGAAACACCTTCCAAAGAGGATCCTACTCTGAGAAAACTCAGATGTTAAAATTCAAAGTAATCAGAGCAAAATGCCATTTTAACATGAGGTTTACTTTTCATATGGTAAAATATTATTTTACCCGCAACACATTTCTTTGCGGGTAAAACGGCATTTTAACATGTGAAAAAAAGCCGCATGTTTAAATGACGACAAAATGCCATTTTAACATGGAGATATTTTGTCACATGTTAAAATGCCGTTTTACCCGCAAAACATTTCTTTGCGGGTTTTACTGCATTTTACCACGTGACGAAATATCTCCATGTTAAAATGGCATTTTGCTCTGATTACTATGAATTTTAACATCTGAGTTTTCTCAGAGTACCATACAAACACCTCTTTATCAAAGTTCGGTTTGTCGACGTCTCTTGCCTTATATAGTAGTCCCCTAACATAATCAATGCAAAAGAAACCACTTGCACTTGATTCATGGTTCGATATAGCGATGAATGTTTCATTGTCCAAAATGTTGAATTTTCCAGTGCAACATGCTATAGGGTGAAGTAAACACCCAATTTTTGACACCCTTTGGAATATTTTCGTAACTTATTTTACTGATTCCTAATGATCGTGTCTAAATCTATTGTTTTAGTTCAAATTTGGATGTGTTGTAACCATAAGAATCACCAAAAATGAATTTTTGCTTGACCAACCCGGTTTTTGGTACTTGATGATAATTTTGAAGGGTTTGAGCATTTAAATTGGGAATACGACCGTATTTTTTGTATCCTCTAGAATTCTCATCTTCATACTAAGTCCCTGAAAAACGATACATGGTTCGAAGACAGATTGGTTCATCTTTAGACACATGCAGAAATTGTTTTGAACTTAGCTGTCCAAAACCATTTGAGACACTCATGGCCTGGAAATGCCTATGTAATTTACATATAAACGAGTGAGACTCAAACATGTTCTTCTTTTTCCATCAAATATACCAGTGGCACCACCAATTTTACATATAAGCGCATACAAAATTTTCAATATGGCTGCGCCCATGAGAGAGAAAATTTCGTCTCATTCATTTCCGCCCCATGGAGACACTTTTAAGTAAATCCAATTTGTGCGTCATCACGAATGGAAATTTTTGTGCAAATTGTGTTTGACAGTAGAGTAGGAGTCCCGATAAGTCTCCTATGTGCATTGGTTGACATTTTTGATTTTGTTTATGTAGCGCAATAAACGCCTAAATTTATTCCAAAGACTTTCTATACAGATATTATTGCTTCCCCTTCAGATATCTTTTGTTGTTTGGGAACAGGCAATAGTCGCTGGGGGCCAGATCTGGAGAATACGGTGGATGGTGGAGTTGTTCGAACCCACATTCCCTGATGGCAGCTTGTGCAAGCAATGATTTGTGAGACGGTGCATTGTCATGCAAAAGAAGAACTTTTCGAGTCAGCAAACCAGGACGCTTTTCTCTGATCGCTTTACGCAATCTATACATTGGTTCAATAACGTGGAACTGTTTTCTAAATAATTATTCTGTATAAGTACAAAACACTTCTTTCGAAGTTCCCACTGTGACGCAATACTGTAAATCTGGAAATGTTCTGATATAAATTTTCAGTGACGCGTTCGTTCATATACGCATACAAAATGTTAATATTGCGTCACCTCTAAAATGCAAACACAAACAAAAGACGTGTTTAATGTCATAATCAAAAATCATAGGTCAAAAATTTGCGGGTTTTAGTGATTTCTATTATTTTCGTGTTGTTTACATGAATCGTTCTCTGGAGGTGAAATAGGCGACGCAATATTAACATTTTGTATGCGTATATGAACGAACGCGTCACTGAAAATTTATATCAGAACATTTCCAGATTTACAGTATTGCGTCATAGTGGGAACTTCTAAAGAAGTGTTTTTTACTTATATATAGTACAAATTATGCAGATTCTGAATATATATTCAAAGTTCTAAAAAGTGTACTAAAAATTTTTTTTTTTTGCTTTTTAGAACATTTTTTAGTACATTTTCAAAAAAAAATTAATACATTTAGAAAGTTCAAATTGAGTACAAACTTTTGGTATATTTCGTTTTTGATTCTGAAAACTAAAATTTCTGTACTGAAAAAACACTTGTAATTTTAGTACAGTCGATGTAATAAGTTCGTGAATTTTTTATACATATATATAGTACTAATTATGCAGATTCAGAATATGTTATCAAAGTTCTAAAAAGTGTAATAAAAATTTTTTTTTTGCTTTTTAGTACATTTCCAAATTTTTTTAGTACATTTAGGAAGTAAAAATTGAGTACAAATTTTTGGTATATTTCGTTTTTGATTCTGAAAACTAAAATTTCTGTACTAAAAAAACACTTGTAATTTTAGTACAGTCGATGTAATAATTTCGGAATATTTTTTATACATATATATAGTACAAATTATGCAGATTCTGAATATAAATTCAAAGTTCTAAAAAGTGTACTAAAATTTTTTTTTTGCTTTTTAGTACATTTTTTAGTACATTTTCAAAAAAAAATTAGTACATTTAGAAAGAACAAATTGAGTACAAATTATTGGTATATTTGGTTTTTCGATCCGATGTGTACTAAAAAAAAGTTGTACTAAAAGATACTTCCAGTTTAGTACAAATTCTAAAAATGTTAGTACAAATTAGTACAAATTGAGTACAAATTATTTATGGGTGTAATGACCACCTAGCTCAAAATCACCCGTGAGTTGTCACAGAGCCTTTCGATCATGGTTCTCTAGGTGGTGTCGGAGTGTGATATATTTCTTTGACAGTATACCAAAGAGTGAATGCCGGTAGACACGCCGATTTGTTTTGTTTATGTTCTTTTTTCAGAATGGAATATCTTTTGTGATTTTTTGCTTCGGTGAGGCTGCCATGTGTGGGTATTGAAGATCATGGAAACGCTGAGATCAATGCATTTTACAATAAAATAAAATGGAAGCGTGAATGACGTACAAATATATGGTCATTTGCTTTGAACATTGCCGATATTTCAGCATTCTTTTTATGGCGAACAACTTGCGGTTCGCCAGTTTGATTTGAATTTTGTTCGGCTGGGCAACTTGTTCAAAGTTTCTAGCTCATCTTGTCAAATACTATACGATTTGCGTGTCATTCGCTGGTGTAGTTTCAAACATATTTTTCTTATTTAAAATGTTATAAAAGTCTTAGATTGATTTGTTTTGACTGATTAAAATTCTTACTAATTTCTAATGGCATACACATCGACTGGCAATTGCTCCTGAACATAAGAGAGATCTCACGTATGTAAAACTTTTGCGTATTTAAAAGCTGTCTTTTAATATTGAAAAAAAAAAACACTTGGATTCGAAGAAAAAACATGTAAAATGTGTAAACTGTTGTATACTCTGCCACGATTTTTAAAGGTATTGTTTGTGCATCAATTAATTTATCTAGGCCAGCTTTATATTCGAAAATTAAATCAACATATGATTAGTGATTAGTGCATTAGTTCAATCAAAATAAAAGATTATTATTTGCTTTGTAAATCGATTTAATCGACATATCTTCTGTTTTTTGTTCAAAATTTTCAGAAGCGTTTGAAAAGAAAGAAAACAAAAATGGAGACGAAGAATGGTCGATGGCGAACAGCTTATAGTCAATCTTTTCATAAAAGATAAGCAAATTTAAGAAAAGAAAATGGACTATGACCTTCCTACAGAGGTTATAGGGGTACGATTTTTGATTCTTGAAAATATGTCAAAATCGAATCACTCTAATGTCTATTCAACGAAGCTGTATGGACCGACCCGTATCTAGGATTTCAGTGGTGGGCTCGAATTTTTCGAAAATTCTTATGTAAATGTAAAATTACTCACAAAAATCCAAAAAGTTTCAATTTATTTACAATAAAATGTATTAATTTAATAAATTTAATAAATTTGTAACAAATTGGTAATAACTTTTTCTTTTATTCTACATATCCCATATGAAACCTCAACGCTATGCGCGTCAAATCGACGTTATTCGACGCTATTCCATGTGTATATAGAATTGTACATTATGTTTTACAGTGCTGTGCAAGCATGCGGCCTTATACACAGTAACACACGAACTCCGTTTATGTGCGCGCGTTGCCTGTTATGTTTTGTGTATTGAATTGCGACTCAATCACAGTAGACGGCGCAGGCACTGTAAAACAAAAAGTACAACTTCATATATGTATACACATAGAATAGCGTCGAATAACGTCGATTTGACGAGCATAGCGTTAAGGTTTCATATGGGATATTCGAATTTATTTGTTTTTTTTTTGCTATTTTTCAAAATTGAACATTCTGGTTAAAAGAATTGGATTCATTCAAAACAACCAAATTTACCGTAAGTAATTCTTTTCGACGTATTACTAATTTCATTCATGCCATTGCTATAATAATGGTTTTGTTTGTATGACTCGATAAAGACCCATTACGTATCAGTTTAAAAGTGTGGAATAACTTCTGGATTGCTCTAGAATAAAAACAGCTTATTAAATGGTCGCATATCAAAGCGAAACCAGACTTTTTTTTCATATAGATTTTTTGTTGTAATTCATACAAACTACAGAAACAAATGTATGTATTGTTTCGTATTTTTGGCATTAAGTTCGTATTAAATCATACCTCAAGATAATTCCTTTGACTGAACTGACTTTGATTGAATTGTCTACAGAATTGCCAAAAATTGTACGAATCGAATTTTTCTTTCATTTCAAAAAATTGCATAGTAGTATACAAATAAGAAGAGTCCCGTTTTGCACAAAAACTGTTTAAAATAAAAATACAACAAATCTATCACATTCGCGCGCCATCTATTGTAAAGAAAATCAAACAATTCCGTTCGACTTTCTCCTATTGCCAAGTTCATATGTGTTCACGTAATGATACAATTGTCAAATGTGAAACATCAACATCATCAAAATATATTTTCATACGGTAATAAATGTATGTGATTTGTTCTGAAAACGAAACGATTTAAATAATTGCCATTTATAAAATTCGAGGATTAACATCAAATAAATTCAATTGTAAGTAGAAACGCTTGACGTTTTACGTATGTTTTTTAAATTTTTCATCTAAATAAATTACTATTCTCCGGAATCAGTATCGTATTTAGTCGGATAACATAAACAAAATACACATAGATATACCGAGTAATTGTAGTGTTTTGTTTTTGCCACACCGACTGCGTGTCACACAACTGTGTAAATACATGGAAATGTTTGCATCTTGAGTTGCAAAAATAAATCTGTTCATATACCAAATTGAAGCGAATTCTTTTGTATAAATTATTCTCTCTTTTTGTATGAGAGTGTGAATGTGACAGTGAAGATTTCAGTACATTCAGTGAACATTGTGTAATAATATTGGCCAATTTGTCTTGATATAATGCGAAAACAGAAAAAGTGAACAAAATTAATTAAATATTTAAATGGAACAGTCTGTACTAAGTCTGTACACGCTGCGTATTAATACATCCGAAAAAATTATCATTCTCTTTCTCTTTCTCCCTCTTATTCTTCTTCTCCGGTGACACGTTGGAAGTGTTGACGTTTCGTTTTATTCTAAATTTCGTTAATAACAGAAATTTGACATATTACAATTAGAGCGATAGTACATGTAATATTGTGTACACGAAAAAAAAGTTCCAACATCTTTTTTTCGACCTAGTCAAAACAAACATTTATTTTTTCTTTTTTTTTTTTCAAAAGAAAATCTCAAAAAAATTATCAATTTCGAGCGAATCCATCAAAGAAATTTTAATTGTAATCAGTGCATTATCATTTGTGTTCTGTAAGAAATTTTCATTTTTTCAGTGAAAAAAAAAAAATACCTAATCACATAATTTGATTAACTTCAATTTTGAACAATTAATAGACAAACTGACAATCAATTGGATTTTTTTTTTAACTTTTAGATTTGTGTTTATTTGGATATTATTGTGCATTTAGTAAAAATTGGTGTTTTACCATCATGAAAATCAAAGAGCTACAAAAAACCGTGAATATTGCCTGGTCACCGGCCCAATTAAATGAATTATTTTTGGCCGCTGGTACAGCTGCTCAGCAAATCGACACGTCACTTAATTCGAATTCAACGCTTGAATTGTACGAAATCGATTTGACCGATCCGGGCTTTGATTTAAATTTGAAAGCATCACAAAATAGCCAGTACAGATTTCAAAAGATCGTATGGAGCCCGTTGAGAAATCAAGGCAGTGCCAGCGGAATAATCGCAACCGGTTGTGAAAGTGGACATTTACAATTGTACAGCGCATCGAAATTGTTGGCTGGTGAAGATGCGTTGGTTGCATCGCAAGACAAACACACTGGTATGTATTTGATTAATGACATCATCACTTTTCGCAATACTGAATTTTGAAATGATGAATTTCATTAACACATACACATTTGGATTGATGGGATTTTTAGGTGTGGTTCGTGCATTAGATTATAATCCATTTCAAGTGAATTTACTGGCATCCGGTGCATCCGAATCGGATATTTTCATTTGGGATTTAAACAACACCACAACGCCAATGACACCCGGCACAAAGACACAACCATTGGAAGACATTGAAAATATTGCATGGAATCGACAAGTTCAACATATTTTAGCATCTGTATTTAGTTCACGGTGTGTTGTTTGGGATTTACGTAAAAATGAACCAATTATCAAACTATGCGATAAACAATCTCGCGTACGTTTCCGTGCACTTCAGTGGCATCCAAGCATTGCCACCCAATTGTGGCTTGCATCCGAAGACGATCAAGCTCCATACGTTCAATTGTGGGATTTACGATATGCAACGGCACCAGCAAAGGTTAGTTCAACGCAGTAAATATAACTACCCAATTTTTGTCAATTTTTTTTCTCCCTTTCTCCTTTTTTAGACGCTGAAAATTCATGATCGCGGCATTCTCGGTTTGTCATGGTGTTTAAAAGACACCGACCTGATGGTATCTTGTGGCAAAGACAATAAAATTTTGTGTTGGAATCCAAATGTGGAACAAGGTGATGAATGTATATCAGAAATTGCGTCAACACTTCAATGGTATTCGATTATTTTCGATTATTTTCCGATTACTTATCGATTATTTTAAATTTTATTCTTTTCTTTTGTGATTCTCCCCTTAGGTATTCGGATGTAATTTGGTGTCCACGTAATCCAGCTCTGATAGCCAGTTCGAGTTTAGATGGAGCCGTTTCAATTTATTCACTTTACGGTGGAACACAGCATCAGGTACAGACTTCAAACAAAATTGCAGATTCGTTTCCCGGAATGGAACACTTTGCACAAGCGCCAACACCACAAGCAACCACACAAATTGTTTACAATGATTTGAAAAAACCACCAAAATGGATGAAACAAACAGTCGGCTGTAAATTTGGTGTAAGTATAAACAATTTTGTATTACAAAATAAAATTTTAAATATATTTTCTATGAATTTTCCCATTCTTTTCGGAATAAAGTTTGGCGGAAAGTTGATCACATTCGGAAATGATGCGAATGCACCACATACGGTGAATATCAGTCAAGTAACAACCGAACCAGAGCTAGTTGAGCGTTCAAAACAATTGGAAGAAGTATTGGGCAACGGCAACTTTATCGACTACTGTCGCAAACGTGCAGATGAAATGAATGATCAGCACAATCGTTATGTTTGGTACTTTTTGAAGGCGAACTTCGAAGCCGATCCACACTCAGAAATGTTGAATCTATTAGGTACAAACCGAACGAAGTTCATTTGAAATTTGAGAGGAAGTCTATATGAGTATACACAATATTAATAATCGATTTTCATAGGTTACAATGTTGAAGACATGCGAGGAAAATTCAGTAAATACGTTGAGAAGAATGCGGATAATGAAATCGATGCCATTAACACAAGACTCGCCGAACTCGTAAGCATAATTATTACATATATATGTTCTATATGAATGGGGTAGAATAAAAACTACTTCTCGAAAAATGTTTAAACACGAAACCTAAAAAAAACTTTCAATGAAAAGTGAATCAATTTTTTTTTGTCCAATTGAAGTGAACCAAAAAAAATTTGTTCAATAAAAGTGAACCTAAAAAAAAAATTCATTTTAGTATATTTTACACTGAAAAAACCGAGTGAATTTTTTTTTTGGTTCACTTTTATTGAACAAAATTTTCTTGGTTGACTTCAATTGGACAAAAAAAAATTGATTCACTTTTAATTGAAATTTTTTTTAGGTTTCGTTTTAAAATACCAATTTTTCGAGAAGTAGTTTTTATTCTACCCCATTCATATGTACTGATTAGCATTTTTACAATTCATTCGTTGGCCCATTTTGTCGTCACATCGGTATTCTCACATTTCCTAATTCATTCATTCACAAAAAAGAACTTATCTTATCAGTTTTTTTTTGTCGTTGTTAAAATTCGTTTCCGTCAATTATGGCATATCAGTTAGGCATTTTGGAGTTCATTAATGTTCATATTTAAAAATTCATTATACAATATATAACAATTAGAACGATTCATCCGACGTTGAGGGTGCGACGTCTAGTTCAACAACATTCACAAGCACTAACGATAGCAATCTATCGGTAAGACTTACACATTACATACTCTACTCTATTCTTCATTGTCATTGTCCACCTTATCCAGATCTGGTAAGCGTTCCATGTGATAGCGTCACTGCATTTTCGTCTGAAAAAAAAATGACAGCGCCTACCAGATTTGATCTTGTCATTGTGTTTGTCTTGTCATTGTATGTATCTTGGGTTATGTGATTTTGTTTTATTTTTTATTATTATTAGAATTATATTTTATTTATAATTATTCAATAGAGTCATGAGCTTTGTCAATCATAATCAATACATCAATTTTTTAGGGTCAAGATAATGCGGCATTTGATAATCTTGGAGCGCAAAAGCTGAAAAATGATTTGTTGAACAGCAGCGAGGAAATATCATTCAAAATCCACACTGGAGAAGATAATGAGGGTTTAATTTGTCAAGCACTGTTGACCGGAAACATTGAATCGGCTGTTGAGCTGTGCATCGAGTCGGATCGTATGGCTGATGCCGTAATCATTGCTTCAACTGGTGGATCCGATCTATTGGCTCGCACACAATATCGTTATTTAAAGTCAAACCAAGGCTATTTATCGAACATCATATCGGCCCTAATCACCGACGATTGGTCGTCGGTGATTTCACAATGTTCAACCGAATCATGGAAAGAGGCCCTGGTTGCAACGCTAACCTATTGTCGTGAACATGTTCCTGTGTTGTGTGAACGGCTCGGTGAACGTTTACAGTCGGAGAGTGGAAATAATTTGGTTGCAATTCAAAATGCAATCCTGTGCTATATTTGTGCCGGAAATGTTGAACGTTTGGCTGAATCATGGTTGACATCCAAATCGACAGCGGATGCAAGCATCAGCGACGGTGCAACACCGTCGACAAAAGAACTTCAAGATCTAATCGAAGTTGTAATTTTGTTTCAAAAAGCATTGGAGCTACAGGGTCGAAATATCAATGCAACGGGTAAATTGGCTGAATTGTTGTCACAGTATGCCGGTTTGTTGGCATCGCAAGGTGCTCTAAATTCAGCACTCACCTATTTAGGACCATCGGAAGCCGTCGATATTGTTGAATTGCGCGAACGACTTTATTATACATTGGGACACAAGCAAGCATATTCGACAAGCATTCGAAGTCAATCACAAGCCCAAAATGTCTTCTCAAAAGCGCCAACACCAAACAAGTTTGGTCAACGACCATCGATCGGTAACATTCAACCAATCGGAGCATTCAACAATAATTTCAGTAATAACAGTTTCAATGCAAGTTTTCCGCCGGCCGTCGCACCAACCACAGCCTCACCACCAATGTGGAATAATTCAGTACCAACACATCCACAAGCTCAACCGCAATGGAATTCGACACCATTTGCACCGCATAATGTGGCACAATCGAATCCAATTCTACCACCGGTACAAACAAAACCACCACCCGTTCAACCACCACTATTGGATCCAACCACACAACCACCGAGACCATCGAGCGTTAGCTCACAAGGTAAATCAAATGCGAGACACTCTTTATGCTTTCTGTGATTCGACGTTATCATGCTTTATTTTCTGCTTTGGAATTAGGTTCAGCGCCAGTTACAAGTCGCAGCAAATACATTTTGGATCCATCCGTTCAATCGAGTTCTTCCTATGGTCAACCGACAAATATGTATGCACCGCCGCCAAATCAGACATTTGGTGCACCGCAGCAATCTTCATTTGGTGCACCACAGCAATCTTCATTTGGTGCGCCGCAGCAACCTTCATTTGGTGCACCACAACAATCTTCATTTGGTGCGCCACAGCAACCCGCATATGGAACACCATTCAATCAACCATTGACGAATCAACCAATTGGAAATATGAATCAATCGTCAATATTAAATCCGCAACCAGTTAGTTCATTTGCTCCAGGACTACCACCAATCGAATTGGCTCAACCGGCCATTCAGCAAACGATTCAGAGAAACCCAACACCACCACCTGGTTGGAATGATCCACCAGCTTTGAAATCATCTCGTCCCGTAAGTGTCATAAAATCCAAAAAAAAAAATTAAAACATTTTCCATTCAATTGATTATGCAAAAGTTTATTATGTACCAAAGTGATTTTTGATCGAAGAATACATAACAAAAATTTAGCGAACGCAGTTTGTCGATGGTTCGGGCTTATCAATGATTCAATATGAAAATATGTCAGCCGTTCATGCTGGCACTAAGAAATGGAATAAAATTATTCGTGGACATCATCACGATACCAACACAACAAAATCATCAAATGTAAATAGTTTGATGAAGATATTTTGTGTTTGGTGTCACCGTGACACATTTTTTCCTATTAAATTTCGTTTAATCTCAAATTCCAAGCATTTTTTAAAATGACGCTTGATCTTGTTTTATTCTCATTTACTCACATGCAGAGTTTTTGAAGCTGCTGGTTTTGCTTCAAAAACTCTGAAAATTTTCATTTTTTCGCCAAACAAATTTACTAACTGCATATCAAACTGCCTGCTTTATATAACATTTTTTTAAAATACTTTTTCAATCATCATTAAATGAGCCCAAATCGATCTGATTAAATCTGAATGACATGCCACGTTTCCAACACACACATTTTATTCGCAAAAATGTTTCTGTTCTCTTGTGATTTTGAATGAGAAACTTTATTGAAGTGAAAATCGAAGGGAAAATTGTAAGCCATGTTTAATTTTTTAGCCGCCAGTAACGCAACCGATCGAGACAAATACCAATGTTATATCGCATCCATTGTTTGGCATTGATTCAAATCAAAATCAAAATGGTTTTAGTGAGGTTCCCGGTGGACAATTTGTGACGTCACCAAATGCTCTATATCAGGGTGGATTTATGACGCCGCAAATACCTCAACAACAACAACAACAACAACAACAACAGCAGCAATTGCAACCAGGTGGCAGTTTCCCACAGCAGCAAACTCAATCGTTTCAAACACAATTGCCAAACAGTCAACAGCCGCAGCAGCAGCAACAATTTGCACAGGCGTCTGTTCAACAGCAACAACAACCCGTTGCCACACCAGAGCCAGTTAAACAAAAACCACCGCTTCCCGAGGAGTATATTTATATGCAAACGGTATTCAATGAATTGCGTACGCAATGCAGCAACGCAACGGCCAATCCAGTAAGTTTAAATAAACTTTTCACGCATTTCACAACAAAATTGTAAAAATTCATTAAATTTCAGCAAACGAAGCGTAAATTGGATGATGTTTCGAAGCGGTTGGAGTTTTTGTATGATTTATTGCGTGAAAATCGGGTGAGTTGCAAACTTAAAAATCAAATTTTCCACGATTTTCAAAAAAATTGAATAAATGTTGATATTTGCAATAATTTCTGTTGACAGTTAACGCCAAACACATTGGATTCGTTGAATCAACTAGTTCAGCTGGTGCAAATTGGTGACTATGCCAATGGATTGGGAATTCATACACAAATGGTATCCGGTCCAGATTTCTCTCAAATTGCCAGCTTTATGCCCGGCATAAAAGTTCTATTGCAGACGGCTATGCAACTTCAAGTTTGTTTAAGATGAAAAATGCGCAAAATCTACTTAACACTCAATAATTGCATGCATTTATTATTTGAATATATTGGAGCAAAAAAAATTGGTTCAAAACGAACGAAACGTTTAGCACTCGAAATTGCGACACCCGTCTATATATTATTTGCGTTTGTTTCGTTAATATTTTTATATTTCAATTTTCTAGCAACTCGTATTCATTTCTATGCTGTGTTTAGTGATTTCATTTATTCTTCTAGAGGCGTCAAAGCAAATTTATTTACTAAATCAATCAATTTCCAATAAATATTCGTAAAGAAGTATGAAAAAAATTGTCAAATTCAAATTGTATGAGAAAACTATTATCAATAAAATTGTTAATTTACACATGAATCGAAACGGTTTCTTTTGAATTATTCACTTGGAGTTGGCATTGGAAATAAAACTTATTAATCAAAGAGCTGTTATTGATATCAGCTCGATTTTCAGCGATTTACTCTTCCAACACTCATTATTTGTATCAACCGGACGAAATTAATCCAATTTTATAAATAAAATTGAAAATATTTGAGCAAACCGTATTTGATTTGTTTTTCTAAGTTTAGTCTGCAAAAAATCATTCGTTCTATAGTTTAAAAATTAAATGTTATTCTTGAAACCCCTTTTCAATTAGAAAAAAGAATTCTTTCAAAAATATTCCATCTTCAATACGATTTCGTGAAAAAGAAATTCATTTAATAAAACACGATACCGATATATTTTTAAAACTAATTTATTTACATATTTAACTTAAACGTAGGTAAAATTAAAAAAAAATCATTGTCAAAAAAAATTATAATTTTTTAAATCATTCAAAAATCGTTTGTCAACATGACAAAGTACAAACCTTTGAATAATATTTTGTCTGCTACTTTCATCGTATCGAAATGAATTTATTTATCGTGATATGAAAATCATATTTTCAATCGCTATAGTGATGTGTACATCAAATAAATATATGATGCAATTAAATCAAAAAAAATAATCGATTGAATGTGTAATTTTGTCAAACAAAACATTCAAAATATCTTGAATTTGTTTGTTTTTTTCAAACAAAGGAAGACACCAAATGCGAAACGCCGGAATAAGGCAGCAAACTCATACGCTGCTCGAACTCGAAAATCGGCTCGAGAATCATCATCAAGAAAAATGAGTAAGCAGCCACAACACCAATGGCCGTTTGTTTACGAGACAACCAATTTCGATAGAAAAATTTAACTTAAGAATAATTGAACATTGTGAAATAGCATGAACCGACTTTTTCTCTTAAGAATAAGTTCTGGTGAGAATAATTATAATTTTATTCGTTGAAAGATCAAGCGAACTGATGTACATTTTGTTTTGCAGAGTAACACAATGGTAAATGTATACTAATACTTTGATGATTTTTATACTTTGATAATTTAAACGTTGCAAACTAGTTTCCTTTTAATTCTTTTCCTTTTTTATTTTCTTTCTTTCATACATAGTAATTATGTAGCAATTAATTGAGCAAAATGCATGTTTGCTGGTCCTGATTGGTTTTCACAAATAAGCGATGTCATATGATGACTGTTTTTTTACAAATAAGTGATACCATTTTTTTACAAATAAGATCATGCTGTCCGATACGATAAACGTACTACAAATAAGCGATGCCGTTTTTACAACCACCACGAGCACGAACACTTCGGCGACCTCTGTTACGTCCTCGTCACCCTACAGCAGACACAATTTAAAAATAATAATAAATAAATATATATATATATATATATATATATATATTTATTTTAAATTTATTTTCACAAGAAAAAACATGTATTTCTGTATTAACATAGAATACAAAATAAACGTAAATTAAAGCGAATACGATTGTTTACTTCTAAATAAAAGTACAATAAAGAAAATAAATTAAATGTGCAGTTGAAAAACAGAATTTAAAATGCTATATAAAAATATAAGCAATTTTTTTTCACTTTGAAAAAAAAAAGGAATCTTATTGGAAAATAAAAGCCTAGATATATAATTGACTATAAACTGAAAACTGTGGCAAATTCAAGAATTTCAGCGTTGATCACGACTGTTTTTACCTATGTTGCTCGTGGTTTTTTCCAGAAAAGCTAATGGTCCCGGTAGAACGTTTTGTCCCTGTCCAAAGTTGGCTATTGGTATGCCAGCACCGCCACCTCTCATTGGTACGCCGCCTTGTTGCATAAACATTTGGGGTGTGTTACCGACCTTTTTTTTGTTTCATTGAAATGTTTGAATCATCATTAAAATTCAGTGGATAATTGTGCATTGTTTTCATTTATTTTTGGTCAATCATGTTGAAAGAAGAAATACAAATGTTGAGTCATACGAGCAGTCTCATTGGCGAAAAAAAGACGATCACATCTTTTTTTATCACAGATACAAATCTGCTTAGTGTTCAACAAATGATTGAAATTTATTGGTTTTTTTTTTATTTGCATACAATTTAGTTAAAAAAAAATTTCTCTGTCTCTCTCAATAGATAAAATTTGGTAACATATTTAATTCAAAACTTAAATGACATATTGTCTAGTATTCAATTTTTCTTAAATAAAATGCAAACTGTGCGTCAAAGTTGCTGCAATATAATAGACTATTTACTATCCATTAAAATCTACTGATTTATAAAAATTGCACGTATTCTGCTCATCACCTCATATTTTTTTTTAAAGAAAAAATTCGGTCAAAATCAATTTTGGATCATGTACTGAAAATTGTTTTTTTTTTTATCGTTTAGCCAATTTTCCCAACTGCAAAATGCAAAAGAAAAATGTAAAAACAAACTGAAACACTAAATTGATACGAACATCGATCAGATGATTGAAATACAATGAAAAATTTACAACACATTCAGACAATGGACATTTACGAATCACAAGACAATTGACCAACATAATATAGAAGAGATGAATGACCGCTATTACCACACACTTCGATGCAAAAACTCGAACAAGAAATGCACAACACACTCACTACACGAGCTCTACATTTCAAATAAGCGTGTATTACATTAGCAATCGGTTCGATTTATTGCCACGAAGTATGCTGTTGTTGCGATAGAGTTTGTTTCTGGTATGGACCAGATATATGGATGCGATTTTCGGAGCTTGTTAGAATGAAATGTTTTCACAATTTCAAAAACTCAAATAGGAATCATTCAGTTTACCTGCATTTGTTGCATGTGCATCTGCTGAGCTTGCATCATATGTTGTTGTTGTTGCTATTGAAAATTCAAGAAAATTTAGTCCGAATTTGTCAGATTTGAGAACATGATTGCTTTGAGGGAAATTACCTGCATAGGAATACCTGGCATTGGCATAGGGCCTGAATGACTAGGAAGTGGCATATTCATTGGATTTGCTCCCATCATTCCAGCATGTGGTGGTGGTATGCCGCCTTGTGGGATCTGATTTAACTGTAAATAAAATTTCGCCCATTGAATCGTTTGCTTCCAAATTTTTTTTCTTTTTTTTTATCAAAGTCAAACCTGTGCGGGCATTGGCGGTTGTTGTGGTGATGGATGTGGCATATGCTGTGGCTGTGTATCGGACAGCATATTTTTCCATCGTTCAATACTTTCATAGTGTTTTTTGATCATTTCATCTTTTCGGTTAATTTCCCATCGTAAATCAACATTTTCCTCTTTCAACACCAACTGTGGCTTAAGCGCTGACAATAAAAATCGTTTCTGGATAAAGAATGCTTCCATCTGACGTGCCAGATCGATGAATTTCATTGTCGTTAAATCGACTTCCATGCCAATTTCGTCTTTTTCCACACCGGTCGATGCTTCTTGCTTGGTAAGCGCATGCACACATTCCTAATATACAATTTCGACAAATAAATCATTGGGAATTAAAAAAAAAAAAATTCAAAATGTGCGACTCACTTGGAATGATTCTTCAAATTCGTCGACCAAATTTCCGGTGCCATTAGTTGATGATGCCATTTTTCACAGAGAGGACACTTTCACAAAACAAAATCGAAATGAAATCAACAAAAGAAGAGACTAATTGAAAACAAGACTTTTATTTTACTGTTGGCTTATGTTGAGTGTCAGTTTTCTTTCCGATATACTAATTGGATTTTATCATAATTTCTATTGTTTTAATTTATGTGGGAACAGAGAAGTTGATTAATTTATCACATTTAGCGATGAAGTTGAAATGCGGCACAATTATTTTGTTTAGATAAAAAGAAAGACATTTGACACTTGTATGTGAATGCAGTGGCAACACCAAACAAGTTCATTTGAAAAGTCAAAATAACTGTGATTCAGTTGATTTCCACATTAATTTGGAATTTTCTATTGTATTTCGATTTTCAAACAAATAAAATTATTTTTTCTTTTACAAAATTGAATTCACAAATAATTTAGTGAACTTGTGTTTACCAAATATAACTTTTCAATATTTTTTAATTCTGCTTCTCGATTAAATGTGTTTTCAATAGATGGCATTGCGAGCGGAATATCATATTAGGTAAACACAATCCATCAAATACATGTTCACATCGGTCTAGCTTGTTTTTACATTCAGAGCAGTATATTTGCAATCTGAATATCTACTGATATTTTCAGGTGCAAATTCTAATAAATAACAAATATGCGAAATATAATTATTCCATCTGATAACACTTGGTTTGCTTAAAATGTATGATCCAAATGAAGAAGAGTCTGGCCTTTTTAGTACGGGCGAATGTGCATTCATCGAGTTACAAAAGAATAAAAGTAAAAACTTTCAATGGCTAGCAAAACTGGACACATTTTTTTATTATGTATGAAAACAGTTACAAAATAAAAGTAATTTAAAAAATGTTTATTCGTGGTATTTGTTGTATCTTATTATCTTGATTTTTATTCAGTGGTTACATTGTTGTTTGTATCATTTACATCGAATCATTTTTCAAACTGGCACGAAGTTCTGCACCCAAACCATTTCGATATTTTGGGAAGCTAGACATTTCTGTGAGAGGGTAATCCGTTTCGTGAACGCTTAAATTCTTCCATACATTTTTCATATCTTTCTCTTCTCTTAGGTCGTTTTTCCTCAAATCTAGCCAACCAGTCTTCCCATGTTTCACACGTATGAATTTCGTTTTGACTTTCCATTTTCTTTCTACATAGAGAAAAACAAAAACAAGTTTAAACATGATACAATTAATTTGTTTACGTTTTTTTCTTCGTTGATAAAGAAGTTTGAATTAGAAAATATTGTTTTCGGTAAAATCACTTTTCTCAGTAGAATTGATGTTTACGTATTTGTCTAATGAAAACAAAGCATATATCAGAATATGTATATATGTGTCAGAGCATTTACAAAAGACTTTCATTGGGTAATAGTATTACGTGTGTATGTGTATTTATTTTCAAAAACATTTGTTTATTATTTGAGAATTTTTTTAAGCATTTAAGTTCATCAATTAATAGCAAAAATGGACTAAATTTTTTCATTACTCGTTACAGAATAAATGCAATTTTAAAAAAAAATGTTTATTCATCTTATTTGTTAATCGTTGTTCATCGAAAAATAGTCTGATATAAAATATTAATTTTTTTCTTCTCTAATATTACTCAATTATTTGTGTCACTTGGTTGAATCAGAATGAAAAGAATTTCTTATTATCTGAATTACGCGTGGTGTCATTTGGATTCTATATGATAACCTTATATGAAATTTTCAGAGACTCGGTGTAATGCGCACAAAAAGGAAATAATTCTTTGTGGATCTTTGAGATACATTACTGACTATCAAAACCGACTACTTCAAAAATGACGTCTAAGACGAATTTATATTCCTTGGTATTTTTTCACCAAAAACTGTCTCGACTTATTTATACATATTATTTTCTATCTGATTCGACATGACTAACATTTATTACCATTTACAACATTCTGCGATTTTCAATTAACGTTGAAAAACTTACTAGTATCTATAGGAACTTACGTAAAACTTAGACGAACTTACAAAAATATAAGGGTGGCGCATATAATCGGGTTTTCCAAGGGAGTTGAAATTTTGAAAAACCCTTTGGGGCAGTAATGTGCGAGCTACATTTTACAGGGGGGGTGATTTTTCAAAAACTAAAAATTCTCTCATCTGAACAACAAATTTCGTTTTTTTTTGCTCTTCACTTTTTTGGCGAAAATCCCTAGCAAATCGAAAGAATTTTCTCCGCGCAAAACCTCAGGAAATTACAATAAAATCGTTTTTTTTTTTTT